AAAAAAAAGTCAAACTTTATTAATATCACATTTGGCAGCAACTCTTCGAAAATGAGCACATAAATATTTTAATGTTTCAAATCGATAATCATCTAATTGAACAACAAGTCGTTTTAATTCAATTACACGTTCACGATGATTTTCAATTCGACTTGCTTCAACACATAAACTACTCATCTCTAGAAAAATAATCAGATTTTATTATTTATAGAATATTTAAAAAAAAAAAACAAACTTGATGATAAAAGTGAATCAGGTAATTTAGCAAAAAATGTTTTTAATGTTGATGCAACAGCTTTAACATCATACCATTTTTCCGAATTAAATTCAATATTTTCTGCTCCTTTATCTAATTCCTGAACAAGCCAATTAACAGCTGTTACACCACCAGCATGTCTATAAATTCCTTGACAATTTATTCCACGTAATTCAACAAGACGTGTTAAAATTTCGACAACAATTGGAATATAACGTGATATTGATGATATTTCACATTCTTCTAATTCAATACCAAAATTATTTCCTTGAGAAAGTGTACATGCACCTGTTGATGATGATAATGATTCTCCACTTGATTCATCATAAATTTGTCCACTCATTTGACTTGTTAATAATGATGATGATGATTTTAATGTTCGAAGACCTTTTTTTACAATTGATTTAACAAATGAACGACGAGGTGATGTTACATTTGATGGAGAATTTAATCCACTTAATGATGATATTGATTGGGTTGGTTGAGTTATTGTTGATTTTTGAGATTTACGGAAACGAAGACTCGGTGAACGTTTTAATGATGGACTTCGAAATGTATTTTTAGATTTTCGTCCACTTAATGGACTTAATTTATGTTGATCACTAGTTCGACGTGTTAAACTAAATTATATTTTACATAGAAATCATTATTATTATTATTTAAAATATTCAATAATTTTGTCTTTATAATCAAATCAAGAAAATTATTCTAATGCATAAATTATTAAATGACCTTATCAACTCAATATTGTTAAATTTTAAAAATTGAATTACTATTCAGTTATGCAATTTTTCTCGTGCATTTTAAGATTTTACAGCACACTCAACGAGAGAGATCTTTTATGTATATTCGTGAAATAATTCAATTTCAACTTTCAAGTTTGATATGTACGGTTTTTTTTTCGACATTGAAAATGAAAATGATACTAACCTAATATTAAAGTCATATTATTTTCTTGAACAAAAACTAATTAGAGTCATAAACCACATTTATTTATTTAATATCGAATCAATCAAATAATTCTATAAAATTATTTTTATTAAATAAAAATTTCATCTTGATCAGGAATTGTATTCTGTTACATAGAAGTAAAGAGATGCTTATATATAATAATCAATTTCTCATTATACATCGAAACGTTTGGTGTCTTGAAAGAACTAAATACATTATAGGAAGAAAAAAACTTCCTGAGTTTTAGACACGTAACATAAATAGAACACTTACGAGAGAACTATCCAAACTGCGATACCCGTCGTTTGAGTTCATATTGGATTCACAAGGAAGTATTGGTAGGATTAGAAAAGTTATGGCTGTTGTACTGAATTTAGGTTTTTCCTGAATAATCAAATAAAAGTATTTCGATCTGAAATTTCGCTCATAAATAGATTGAATGACTAGTAGAGTATCCTGAAAGAATGTTTCTTGGTCGAGATATTGAATTTCCAAGTAAATTCGATATTAGTAGCAAACGATTATTCTTTGGAAATTGAATATCTCGACAATGAAATACTCTTTTTGGAGGAAATTTCTTGAGTCATTCCATCTGCTTATAGACGAAATTTCAGATCGAAATATCTTTATTTG